ACTAATAAAATGAATAATTATCACATTCACAAGTGCCACAACCATACCACTAATGACTACATCCAATTGAAGAATGTGATTGAAGCTTTAAGAAAGAGTTTCCGCTTGTATGAGTATACCAAAAATGGAAAGAGAAATAGAGAAGAGTTGCAAAGAACAAGTCATCATCCAAGGTTGGGGATGTTGTGACTAACATTGAAGGGACCATTGGTGAAGATAAAGAAGCAAGTAAGAGGAAGCGATAACATATTGTGGCCATTACAAGGGGTTCACCCTTGGAGAACACCCCATCAATGAGGACGATGAATAGGAATATTGCAGAATTGATGGTCGTTTATAAGAAAGACGAAAGCCCCTTTGCCAAGACCCTAAATAACCAATTCCCGAGTTCTAGGATAGAGAAAACGTTAGGGGAAATTTCCAAAGTCGTATCTGCCACGATCGGCCACTTCGACGTATTTTGGATACTGATCGATGGCAGAAGATCCCATGACATAATGTTTTATAGTTTTTCGAAAACATGGGCCTCAATTAGGAAAATTTGTGGCCATACGAAGGGACAAGCTTGAAAGTATTCAACAAAACAACCACCCGTCTGTGGGGGTACATTGAATTAATGATATATGTGGGGGAATGAAGAGATGTCTGGAACATGAACTCGTAACTCCTTATAGCTCCTTGCAAGAAATCTTAAAATTACATACTCAACATTACCTTTCACGGAGGCACTAGATATTATAGCTTCTCTGGTCCACTTAAATCTCAAATTCTACAATCTTCACGGTGATCGGGTAATGATCAATATCGATCTTGAAGGAGCTAAAAGGATCTACCAGGAACTATAACAAGACCAAGGATAGTGTGACATTATGGAGATCAACGTAACTTTCCTCAATGGCTAGTAGAGGAGCATGAACATTCGACCTCTTGCAGAAAGAATAGATAATGTCGGCGTAATAGGGAAGAGTGACTAACCTAGTAAGCTCTAAACCATGTAGAATAAGCGATGGTAGGGCCGTCGGGTTATGCTAACAAATTTATTATGATGTTATTCATTTGTATAATTGATAACCTCACCAAAGTGTTGTGATATTTCTATTATTAATGAAAAAACACAAGTTCTGAAATATCTCTTTTTTTATGACCATGAAAGGTAACGAAGAGTTTGGGTTACGACCGAAGAGATTGAAGCGCCATCAAAAGACTCGGGTGTTGTCATAAACTCCACAAGCACCCGTCCATGGGATTACATTTAATTAATGATATATATGGGGGGAAAGAGATGTCTGGACCTTGAACTTGCAATTCCTTGTAGTTCCTTTCATGAGTTCCTAAAATTGTATACTTGACATACCTTTTGTGACGACTCTAGATGTTGTAGCTTCCGCGATCCACTTCAACCTCAAATTCTACAATCTTCACTAGGAGTGAATCACTAATAATTTTGATCTCGACTGAGCTAAAAGGAACTACCGGCCACTACAACAAAACCAAGGAGAGTGTGATTCCATGGAAAGAACATTTGGCCTACCACGGAAAGAACATATCATGTCGGCTTGATAGGCAAGAGTGGAAAACCCATTAAGCTACAAACCATGGAGAATAAGTGGTGGCAGACCCAACAGGTTATGTTTACAACTTTATTATAATGTTATTTCTTTGTATAATTGATAACCTCACCAAAGTGTACTACAATATTTTCATTATTAATGAACAAAACATAAGTTCTGAAATATCTCTTAACTTTGTGATCGTGAAAGGTAACAAACGACGAGTATGAGTTACGATCGAAAAGATCAAAGAGTCGTCATAAGAACTTGGGTGTTGTCATAAATTCCACAAGCATATGATGAAAGCAATCAGAACCCTAGGATGTAATGCACGCACACAAAGAGAAAGTGAAACCCTCCACTAAATTGGATATAACCAGCTCATTCCCTCTTTGTAGCTAGTCACTCCAGAGGTTGTGGTGGGTCTGCCTTGCGTCCAACTCAAATCTAGTCTTTACCTTGAATTTAAAATAAAGAGATTAATTTTGCGAATGATGTATAATAGAGGACAAAAACTATAATTAATATTATATTATTTAATTTAGGATGAAAGAATTATTTAATCTATGATTGATTTTTTTTTCCAAATGGACTTAGACTATGTTAATATTAAGTTGGTTATTAAATTAAACTACTTATCGTAAATTAGGTCTTTATATTTTATTTAATTATTAACTAAGTCTTTGCATTTAATTACTTACTTTCATTTTAATTTATAACAATATTATCAAAGTATTATTATGAGTTTAACTTAATATAATCGATAAATTTTTGAAATATAAATAGAGATTAAGTTGAAAATATTCTTAAAATATCATTATTGTCCTAGAGAATATATATAATTAAGAGTGTAAATCTAAATTAATTTAAATAAAAATACAGATAAAATTAAAATAAAAAATAAAAAATCATATAAAATTGAATATTATTTTATGTGCATGAAAGGTTTTTTTTGTTGAAATCATTCAGCTCAATTAAATTTTAATTACTTTTTTAAAACTGAACCCAATTGCAAATTAAGACATGAGTACAAATCTTGTTAGGTGATAACAGTTCATGTGTTGAGTCATTTCATATAGAGTTTAGACATGACTTTTAAACCCCCCCCCCCCCCCCCCCCCCCCCGAGGATGAATCCTTTAGATTAGTCTGTCCTAAGACCGAACATCGGGTTTTAAAAAGACGGTTTCGTTCAGAAACCATAAATGAGTTAAGAAGAGGTGGTGGTGGCAGATCAAGGCTTTCTTATGTGGTGGAATGGTGAGACATGTAAGGTAAGCAATCCAACACTCAAGGCAGTATCTGAGGGAGAATAGTAAAGTGAAATTAAATTTGAAACTTGTTATCTCAGTGCTTTTCTAAAGCCTAGACTTATTAAGCCTAGACAGTTCATGTGTTGAGTCATTTCATATAGAGTTTAGACATGACTTTTAAACCCCCCCCCCCCCCCCCCCCCCCCGAGGATGAATCCTTTAGATTAGTCTGTCTTAAGACCGAACATCGGGTTTTAAAAAGACGGTTTCGTTTAGAAACCATAAATGAGTTAAGAAGAGGTGGTGGTGGCAGATCAAGGCTTTCTTATGTGGTGGAATGGTGAGACATGTAAGGTAAGCAATCCAACACTCAAGGCAGTATCTGAGGGAGAATAGTAAAGTGAAATTAAATTTGAAACTTGTTATCTCAGTGCTTTTCTAAAGCCTAGACTTATTAAGCCTAGACAGTTCATGTGTTGAGTCATTTCATATAGAGTTTAGACATGACTTTTAAACCCCCCCCCCCCCCCCCCCCCCCGAGGATGAATCCTTTAGATTAGTCTGTCCTAAGACCGAACATCGGGTTTTAAAAAGACGGTTTCGTTCAGAAACCATAAATGAGTTAAGAAGAGGTGGTGGTGGCAGATCAAGGCTTTCTTATGTGGTGGAATGGTGAGACATGTAAGGTAAGCAATCCAACACTCAAGGCAGTATCTGAGGGAGAATAGTAAAGTGAAATTAAATTTGAAACTTGTTATCTCAGTGCTTTTCTAAAGCCTAGACTTATTAAGTCGGACGATTCTTAACAAACTTAATAACTTTTTCTTAACTCAGATCCAAATCTGACTTAAGAAGTCAAAACTTCTTAAGTCGCCAGTTTTTAGGCCAAACTCGAGACCGTCTTAGCAAATCGTTTTTAACCGACTTAACAATTGTTTGTTCTATTAGTGTGATCCCTTGGCCTACTCCTTTTCTTGTTGGTGGCTGAATACCTTAGTAAGTTATTTTCTAGAACTTTTAATTTTAAACTTTTCAATGGGTTTAGAGTAGGCTTCATAAATTTACGAGTTCTCATTTACAATATGCAGTTGATAACGGTTATCCTAGTGGATGCCTCGATAGATGCTATGTGGGTGATTAAGGCCATTAATAGGGGCCTTGAGCTAGCTTCGAGAATTTGTGTCAATTTTGATAAGAGTAGTCTCATAAGCATTAATGTTGACTCTGTAGTTTTGGAATTAGCTAGTGATTGTCTTAATTGCAAGCCATAGTTTATCCCCTTCAAGTACGTTAGGTTATCAGAAAAGGTAATCCACGACTTAATTCTACATAGGAACTTCTAGTGGATCTAGTTTTTAGTCAATTTTAATCATGAAAACACCGCCATAGTAATTTAGGAGGTTGGTGATTCTTCTCAATTTTTTCATAAATGTTATCTGAGTATATTACTTGTCTTTTCTTTAATATTTGTTAAGGTATGGAATAAGATTTTTAGGATTCAAAGAAGGCTTCTCCGAAAAGGGATAATAAGAATTTTAAGATCTCTTATACTAATTGATCTGATGCTTATAAGTATATGGGTCGAGAAGGCTTAGGTGCTCGAGATCTATAATTAGTTAACTTGGACCTTTTAGCCAAGTGAATTGAACACTTATCTCAATTGCATCATGTCTATACTTGAATATTTTAATACCCTAGAAATTGTACCTGCACCATTTCTTCCTCTATTGGGGATAGCTTTGTTGATTTTCGCTTGAATTCTACCTAGTAAAAAAAAGTGCCTCTCCTTGGTTTTAAAGCGGGGGATTCTCTTGATTTGTTTAAAAACAAAGGGTGTTAGTCTTCTTGCTTCCTAAAAGATGTTTTGGTTGGATTTTTTCCTTTATGCATTAGATTTTCATATATATATATATATATATATATATATATATATATATATATATATATATATATATGAAAATGCAATACAGCTTGCATTCCGTGTCAAATGTCAATACTAACAACAAGTCTCTGAACAACAATATCTTTTACTGAAAAATCACAATCAAGGACAAGTTAGTAAATCCACATCATCCCTTGGTATTTTCCCTGGTCGCGTTTGTTTCTATTATAAATAATTGACCCTCCCATCCGTGACTTCAACTTTAAAACAGTACAACCTTCTTCTTATCATTATTATTTTCAAAAGATAAGGTCACATGAAAATCTTACATTTGTTCCCTCTCTTTTCACTTGCGGCTCTAACCGTTTTCATCATCTCCTCCAACGCCGCAAGGCCAGCAGCCACCGTTCCTGAACCCGTATCGCCACCACTACCAGCAGCAGCTCAAGAGTTCCTAGACTCTCACAACAAAGCAAGAGCCGAAGTCGGAGTTGAGCCACTCCAATGGAACGAGAAGCTAGCGAAAGACACAAGCCTACTAGTCCGTTACCAAAGAAACAAAATGGGATGCGATTTTGCGAACTTAACGACAAGCAAATACGGCGGTAACCAGCTCTGGGCGGGTTCGGCGGTTGTAACTCCGAGCAAAGCGGTGGAAGAGTGGGTGAAGGAGAAAGATTTCTACATCCATGCAAACAATTCTTGCGTTGGGAAACATGAGTGCGGTGTTTACACGCAGGTTGTGTGGAAGAATTCAGCACAACTTGGGTGTTCACAGGCTAGTTGTAGTGTTAAGGAGAAAGCTAGTTTGACGATTTGTTTCTATGATCCACCTGGTAATGTCATAGGGGAGACTCCATTTTGATTCATGTATTTTAATTTCAAGTAATGCTGGTTATTAGTATCTGTTTCTTGAATTAGAATGTGTAACTTGTAAGTGTGTCATGTATGCAAGATGTGCCAAGAGAGATTAGTATTTCACTTTAGTTAATTAGTTTAACTTTATCTCTGGTTATGGTTGTTAATTGAGGTGGATCTTTGGTGTGAATTTTTGCATATAAATTAGTTTACGGTTTAGAATTTTTTTAATATGATGGACTAAAGTTTAGAAGAATAGACAAGGTAGGCCATGTTAATGGAATTGGTCTTAGTTAATGCAATAGACAAGGTATGCCATGTTAGTCCAATTGGTCTTACAAGTTAATGGAATTGGTCATACTATTTTTTTTTCAATGTACGTCTTGCCTCTTTTATTTTAATCTCTCATCTCTTAATTTTTTTTTTATCTTCTTATTTTCATGTTACTATTTTATCTTTTAATTAGGTTTTTATCATACATTTTTTTTTTAATCTTACATCTTTTATTTTCTTTCTTTTTCATCTTCTCTAATCTCTCATCATCCATGTTTTTTTTTCCTTTCTGTTTTACTATAATATTTTTAATATTGTTTGATGCTACTATTTTTTTACTCTTTTGTCTAATCTGATTGTTATATATTGAATGATAAGTTTTTATATAATAAATTTTGTTGTTATTTGTAATGTATGAATTATTAAACACAAAGTTATATTCTTCTTTATAGATGTATGTATGACTTAATAAAAATCTTGTAAAAAATTAAATCAATCGAACCAACCAAAATTGTATTCATTTGATTTGGTTTTATTTCTAACAGACAATTGAATCAAACCAAATTGCATGCTTTTTTCTTTTGCAATTCAAATAATTTTGTGTCAAAATTGTGTAAACCGCAAACACTCCTAATACTAACAAGTGTTTTAAGACTTAAGATCACTAGTGAAGAAAATTAAAAATAAACCAAAAATAAACGTTTTATATTAAAAATGATAATTTATCTATTTCAAAGATTTGAGTGAAATTATATTTAAATTCTCTATTTATATATAACTAAAGTTGCTTCTAAATTAGAATTATCTATAAAAAAATTGACTTTTTCAAAAATTTCCAAACTTTTCAAATTTATCCATATTTAAATCACACAGTTTGAACTAGATTTGTATAGATCGTGTAATTTCAAATCGCAAAATCCTAAATATCTTTTCAAATCTTTCTTAGTAGTACTGTACATTCTTCTCATCTTCTTTATCATGTAAGTCTTGCCTCTTCTACTCTAATCTCTCCTATCTTAATTTCTTTCTTTTTCATCCACTACTAAGGAAAACACATATAATGACGGTTGCAAAACACATATAATAACAGTTTCACATCTGTTGTTAGGTAGCGTGTGATTGTTATAATCAAGGTAGCACACTATCTATCATAACAGTTATGTTAAACAACCGTTGTGATATATATTTAGGTCATGGGTTCGAAACCCAACAACAACAACAAATTATTTGGAAATAATTAACATTTCACCACGTTTACAAAATATAACCGTTGTGAAAAGGATCTTAAGTTTATTATAAAATATGTAGGTTTGTTTTTTCCTTACACCACACCAAACATATACAACCATAAAACTTAATGTGGAAGATAATAATTTGAAAAATTAAATTGTTCTTGAAAAATAACTTAAACGGACCATTGTTTTTCAAATTGCATTCATATCGTAATTCATCTCTTGCTGCTTAGCACGTAGTATTTGATTCAATGTTCCAAATTCTTCAAAGCAACAGTTTATTCCTAGTTTATTTTGAAAAACATCAATATGTTGATTAATTCTAAATCATCATCATCGTTATCATCATCATCATTACTTTAATCAATGATGAAGATTTTTATGATGACAGCGACGAAGATGATTTAAGTTCTCAACACATTTGATGTTTTGCAATATAAATTAATAGAGAATGAACGATTGCTTTAAAGAATTTGGGGCAATAACTCAAATTTTACGTGTTAAAGAGCGATATAGATGAATTATGAGATGGATGCAATTTGAAAATCATGTTTGATCTAAGTTGCATTTCAAATATAACTTAATTTTCAGATTATTATTTTCTAAATTACTTTAAATGAGTGCATGTTCAATGAACGGAGTGAAACAAATAATCTACATACATTATAATAAACTCAACAACAACATATACGTCAATAAAATGGTAACAATATACCTTTTATTGAAAATATTCGTGGAATGATATGAACTTTATCTACTTTGTTTTGCCATGAAGAAAAATTACAAGGTGGATGAAACTTTCAAAAACAAAGCATTTATGAACGACACCCATAATATGAGTTAACATGTTTTGAAAACATAAACCAACATTAATACTATAACATAACAAACAACAACAAGGTATTTAGGAAGTAAATCATGCCACAACAAAAAGCGGCATGTTAACATAAATAAGCAGTAATATATAACATAACAAGCAACAAAAACCACAACATAACTAGCATTAACATTGTAACATAACAAGCAACAACAACCAGCAGTACATTGATAATCCAAAAGGAAGTAAATTATGCCACAACAAAAAGCAACATGTTAACTAACAATAACTACCCACTGTTGCACCCCAAAATTTGCCCTCACAATACAAGACTTTGTGTTCCAAGAAGGTTCACAAGGTTCACAAAATTCATAATTGGTCAGAAGAGTTGACAATTCCCTCAGACAATGCACCTCCTAAGCAGTGCATCCAAAACTAGGGTTTTGACTTTAATCAGGCTAAATGGACTTCCAAGACTTCAAATGAGCTTCATAACATCTTATATGTGTATAAGAACCCCCATGTCAAGTTTCAAGACTTTTCTCAAAAGTTTGCTCAGTCAGATGATCAGATAAGTCAAAAGCAGTCAATGCAGTTAAAAGGTCAAACTGAGGTCAACTGTGGTCAAACCAAAGTCAAACTTCATGATTTTTTTTGCCAACATCAAAGAGAGGTTGGGTGAGAAATATTATCATAATAACTGTAATACCCCAAATTTTGCCCTAAGATTTGTCGTCGCATTTCATTGCATTTAATCAATTACTAACAAATTTGTGTAGTCGTTTGACTTTTTGCAGGTAAATATCATATGGCATGCACTTTTTTTTCTAAAAAGTAAAAATGGCACAATTGGCAGGAGGACATGTGTAAGGAGTTATGAGTGTGAGAGGTTGAGAGTTCGAATCTCACCTTTGGCACTTTTTGTTGTTTTTATTATTTTTACTCTAAATTTTTCTATCTTTCATTAAAAAAAATAACAAAAATAGTTTTTTATTATTATTTAATTATTATTTTCGTATTTTAATTAAATCATTTTTTAAAATATTATTTTTTTTCACTTTTTTCTAAATTATTCATAAAAATATCCAAAAAATCATAAAATAAAAAAATATTGAAAAAAATTTTGTTCTTTTTATAATATTTTTTATTTTAGGAATCAATAGGATTATTAGTTTTTATTTTAAGTTTATTTTAATTATTTTAAATTATTTAAATTTTATTTTTTCTTAACTAATTATTTAGTTTGGGCTTTAAAATGGGCTTTAGGGACATTATTGACAATTTGGTGTTAACCCTAATTTGTTCCCTATATATATATGTGTTGCCTTGTTGGAAAAGAGGAGAGAATGAAAAAAACCTAAGAGGAGTGAGTGCCGTTGGCCGTTATTTAGTTTTCTTCTTCATCCATTACTATTGTTTCTTTTTCTTCATCGTTTACCGTTATTTCTTTTCCTTCATCTATTACTGTTGTTTCTTTTTCTTCATCTTTTACCGTTATTTCTTTTTCTTCATCTATTACCGTTATTTCTTTTTCTTTATCTATTACTGTTGCGTTTATATATACATAATTTTTAAATTGTTAGAGTTTATATATATAAGATTTTTGATCGAATTATGTCGATACGATGTTTGCACATTTGTGTGCATGACGCGTGACATTTGTGTTAGTTCGATCTGGTTGCGATGATCGCATTTTTGTGTGAGCAATAATACTATTTTTTGCTTAATTTCTTTTTCTTTGCGATAAATTTTGTTTCGTCCGATTTAGATCTGGTTGCGATGAGCGCATTTCTGCGTTAGCAACATTGTTGGGTTATTTGGCACATTTAAAATTCATTATTGCTTTATTATTATTATTATTATTATTATTATTATTATTATTATTATTATTATTATTATTATTATCATTATTTATTATTATTATCATTATTATCATTATTATTATTATTGTTATCATTAATTTATTAAAATTTGTTGTAATATAAAAATCTGTTTTTTTTAAAATAAATGACATTAACATCTTTTTTCCAAATTAATATGAAAACCTAATTTTAATTTTCTATATGATTCTATGTATATATTTATTATAATTCTTGTAAATCTTTGTAAATAAAATTAAACCTTATAAACACTTAATGTAAAATTTTGGTGAATGTGATTATTGATTAGTTAAAATTTATTTTCATCATAATGTGTAAATATTTTTCTTAATAATTGTTAATATATAATTAGAGATAATTAAATTTTTGTAAATGATTAAGAAATTTATAATTATGTTATATTTAGAACTTTATATTATAGTAATTATTTAATCATTTATGTTTCTAAATAAAAATCAAATCTTATGATATTTAGAACTTTATATTATAGTAATTATTTAATCATTTATGTTTCTAAATAAAAATCAAATCTTATGATATTTAGAACTTTATATTATAGTAATTATTTAATCATTTATGTTTCTAAATAAAAATCAAATCTTATGTTTAATCACGTTATTAATTAATTATTATTGCTAATCATATTTTGTTGCTTATTATTATTTTGAAATTTCTATCTTATTATTTTTTCTAACTTTGTCTATTTTTCTCATTATTATTGTTTCAACTAATTATTTTCACTAACTTTATATTTATACTAACCTTATTTAATTTTTCTTATTATTTACTAACCCTAATATTTTAT